GGCGACACTCGGGGGCAGGCTTAACTCGGGCTCCAGGGCCCGCATGGGGGGCGCACCTTTGCAATGGCCGGAGGCACAGCCCGGCCACGGCAGCGACCGCCGAGACACTGTAACAATTGTAACCATGTACGGAGCTAATTTTAGAGCCCTTGGAATCAATTCCCATCAGGCGCAGGTAAACTCAGAGTGGAGGGCCAGAACAGGGTGGGTCGACGGGTTCACAGTAAAATCCCCGAGAGTGGCTAGCGTTTACTGAACTTCCTCAGAAGAGCCGAGCTCGTCTTTTCCAAGAGCGCACAGCCGAAAGTGTGCGCTCCCTGCGTCTGTCACCTGCCTCACTGGCTGCCTGGCTGCCTCTGGACTTGCAAAACACTCATGAGGGTGTCCCACGTGGGAGAAATGCCAGCTTGCAATTTCTGCTTAGCTGTAAAGTTCTAGAGAGAAGGACTTCTTGCGTGTGGAACCTGAAGAACTAAGCTCACTCTCCCATCCCATTGTCTTTGGGGTGAGGAATACGCACACAAGGCCATGTGCGTTCTCCCAGCAGGGCTCCCGGCGAGGCCAACCACCCGGCGCCGGGCAGGGAACCCACTCTACCAGGCTCCTTCCATGGCAAGTGTTGGAGAATCCTTGGAAGACCCAAGTTCACTTTCCCTGCATTGAAACTGGAGTTGCCCACCCAATACAGAGTCTGGTCCAAGTAACAGTTACAAGTACAGCTCCAAGCATACAGCTAGTGCCTAATATGGATTAAACACACACCCTCTGGGCCTTAGTTAAACCAGACTTTTACTTAGTTCGTTGGATTGCTGGGACTTTACCCGATGTCAGGCATATTGTCTCTCTCTGTTTCTGCGAGATTCCTAGTGATCGTTTCTATGTCATTTGCTGCAAGAAGATCTCTATTTTGGAATTTAAATACTGTATTGGCTGGGATTCAAAATTAATACTGATTAATTGATTTCATAATAATAATAATGAAAACATTACCAAGCATATTACCTTCAAGGTAGGGAGTAAACACACATTCTCACTCAGTCTCACTCCACAATACACTCTGTCTCCATGTAACTCTTTACAGATGCCGTCGTCCCTCCACGAGTCACGGGCTGGCTCTGTCTGGCTCGGCCGTGAGAGCCAACTTCGGGAGAGAGTCCTGCTCCGGCTGTTGGACATGATGAATTTCAAGTAACAGAGGAACATCCAAACACAGCGCTTTAGGAGGCTTTTTCCTCCGTGCAAACGGGTAATAATCCCCAAACCGAAGTAATCCATGAAAACGTGCTTTCTAAACCTAAGGAACACCCACAAATGTCCTGCAGATAGTTGATGCTCGGTAAACATTGCCATTCCGGACCCAGGCTTTATCCCCCTTCCATACGTAAACTCTATTTTATATCTAAGTTAGGATGTTTTCTCTTTGTGGTTCCAAGTCTGGACGTGTAATTCAGAGGGAGCGTGAACAAGAGGTTCTTATCACTTAACATCCGTCGCTGATTTCTTTTCAGCAGAGAATTTCCTGTGATTTGTTTCACAGGGATTTTGCCCAATACCTGAAAGTCCATAACGAGAGATGAGCACTTGGCTCCGTTTTCACTGTCATGAAAGAAGTCCACGGCGTCCAGGAAGAACCAGTGCCGTGGTGGAAGCTTCCTTATGTGCCGACCAAGCGGCTTTCGGTTCCTGTTCATTTTCAAACCGCTCTTCGGAGTGTCCTCCGTCTCCTGCTGGCTTCTGCTCAGCTCTGCACATGTTCCTCATCCGTCTTTCCTGTCCACTTGCCAAGATCATCTCTTTCGAGAGCCCATTCATGTCTCACTCCCCCGGTTCACCTTCCCCACTGGGGCCACTGTCTCATGCACACACAGTGACACCTCCGCACTCAGTTGGCCCCAAGGTGTCCCTCCACAGACTCTCCTGAGCTTCCCTGGCACAGGCGGACCCCCATGCCTCCAGCACCACCTGGAGCTTTGTGCCCTGTCGGTTTTAAGGCCAGCCCCCCCAGACGAGGCGCAGAGAAAGAAGCAAGAGCTGGGTAGAAGAGAAGTTTCGCTGCCTTTACCTGATGGGCTCCGTGGGAGCAGGGGCAACTCGGTGGACATAGGAGGATGACTCTCTGCTGTCCACCGCAGATGACAGCTCGGACTTCAGTTCCATAACTGAATGCCAAGGGTGAGAGCAGCTAGAACTGGACCCAGAGCTCACAGAAGAAGAGGCCGAGGGGCGAGCAAGAACAAAATGGGCGAGTGCAGGTCGTTTTAGCAAACAGATGACATGCCCTGGATGGCCAATCAGATGGATGAGTAATCTGACAAAGTCACATCATGGTGGAGGGGAAGCTGCAAGGTGCATGGAGAGACAGCAATAGAACACAAGCCGACTCGGCGAGAACCGGGTCCACTGGGGTCCCTCACTGAGCTGTGTGGCCTGGAGGTGGTGAGGACCCCCAGGCAGTGCGCACATTGTGAAGGAAGACGAACGCCTGCCCCTGACAGAAGCATTTCTTCCTGCCGCATTTTCCAAGCTGACCAATCCCCCCTTAATTAGACAGTCTTTCCTAAACTAAGCAAATGCCTTCCATCTGCTTCCAGCTCAGTTTTGCTCACTTGGGAGCCATCCCGTCTCTTTAAGCTGTCTTTGCAAATCTTGGATCTGATGATCAATCATGAATCAATGTGCACATTTAAATTCAAAGGGCAATGTTGTTCTCCCGATTTTCGAGAGGTTAAGAGACACCTAATTGTCATGACAGAGGACTAAGAATGAAACACAAATTCGAAAGCAGGAGGCAGTATGTGGGGAATGTTGTCCCTGGCACATAAGCCAAGGAGGACGGTGTACAGAGGATGCAGTCTGTCCCACCGCACAGGACAGGGGGCGCTTTTGCTCTGAAAGGCAAGTCCTTTTTCTCTGAGAGAGAGACATTCTACTCAAGATGTGCAGCACGAAGATGCAGAGTGGACCCAGCTCACAGAAGCAGGAGGAAGATGAGTCAGAGGGAGGGTTCCTGGAAGACCCTCCATTCTCCCAGCCCCTGCGAGGTGTGGGAGGTTTCTAAACTGAGGAGGTGCGCGGCCAAGAGATGGGACCTGAGAGGCCCAGAGAGAAGGCAACCAGCACCCCCTCGGAGGTCACACAGCGCTGCCAGGCCCACACACGAGAGGCTGGAAGAATGGCAGACTTCCCAGTGCTCAGGTGTTGAGGGTGAAGACACGAGACGGGTTGAAATAGCCTCTCCATGGCCCACTCCTGCTGAGACAGCCACTCTGCCACTCGACAGTCGTCTGTCTATGGACCCGGCCCTTGCTTGGCTGGTAGCCTACTGGGGGACGCAGGCGTGAAAGCAACTCCTGCAGCAAAACATGCAAACCCAGCCGATGGCAGGTGTGAGGAGTGGCTGGGAGGGAAGCCATCCAGCCGCAGGGACCAAGGGGCCTCCTGGAGTGGCTGGGCCAGCTCCAGCCAGAGGAGATTTGGAGGCCAGTGTCGCCTACACCTCCTCCCCTGGGTTATTTTATCAAGGTGTGTGCCCGGGCCCCGTCTAGACTCGCAGGTTCAGAGACCCTGGAAGCTGTACGTTGATGTTTAGCAGGCACTTCAGGACTCTAGTTGTCAAGGGCTGGGGGGAAACACTGGGGACTCCCAATAGTCTGGGGAGTGGGGACGTGTATGTCAGTGTGTGCATGTCAGTGTGTGAGAGAGTTGTGAGTGTGAGTCTGCATGTGTCTACCAAACTCCATCAAACCCCACCAAACCTCACCAAACCTCGCCAAACCCTACCAAACTCCATCAAATGCCATCGAATCTCACCAAACCTCACCAAACTCCACCAAACCTCACCAAATCCCACCAAACTCCACCAAACCCCACCAGACCCCACCAGACCCCATCAAACCTCACCAGACCCCACCAAATCCCAGCACCAGGACCAAGCACTCCTTTCTCAGCCTTTCTTATGGGGCAATAAAATCCCTTTTGAATACATGAATTAAAAGACACTTGTATTAGTCTTAGAAATGAGACCGCTCTGTTACAAGGCCTTTCTCTCTTTAGAAAGGGTTGGGTTTCAAATTGTTTGTGACACGGTAGCTATTTTGAGACACCAAGGGCCGGAGGAAGAAGGTGAAGAAGAACACTGACCAGGGACCCGCTATGGCTACTACTCAGGTTAACACTTCCGTGTTGACATGCTCTTAGGTCTCCTGAAATAAAGCCATAACCTAAGGTAGACTCCAGGTCTGACAATGTTATGTGGGAAAATATGTACGGGACAGAGGGTATAAAAGTAATTTCAAACATTTAGATTTCCTAAGAGTGAGTGGATTTTCAAAATACATCAAAATGAAACCAAACATCTGAAACGGAGCGCAAGTGCGGCTGTCTGTCTTCAGGAAGTACCTGCGGGGGCGGGGGCGGGGGGAGACCGACGCAGCCCCTGCCGGTTAGCCATTCTGCTCTCCAATTTACCCCCGCAGGCCCAGGCCGCTCACACTGAGGGAAATTTCACGTTACAAAGACGGATGGAAATGAAGAGCCGTGTAATTATTAGCTTTGTTACGAGCAGATCAATCATGTGCAGGTGAGGTTCCCCCATCAGCTGTGGATGTTCCTGTTCCGGGTGGGTGGGCTGCGGCTTGCGCGGGCGCCCGGCCCCAGTAGGGCTGTTGGCAGCATTCACGGGCACCCCGTGTCATCGGGACGCGTGTCATTGCGACAAATGACTAAATGTGGTATCTTCCCCGAAGCAGCGGCAGTCTGGTGGCGGGGAGACCACGCCCGCCTCCCTGGCCCCCCGAGGCCTCCGGCTAGGCCCCCTTCCACCGACAAGGCCAGGAGGGAGGCGGTAGCCTGAGCAGAGCGCTGCACTGGGTAACTGCCGCACAGGTGCTCCTACCCAGAGCCGGGATCCAGACCCCCATCCCTGGCTCGCAGCTTTGGGGAAAGGGGCCCTTCCCAGGTCTGCACTGTCTGCCGCGAAGGTCTGCTCGGACACAGGGTGCATGGGGGCCCAGGGCCTCAGCTTCCCGCCTTGCAACACAAACAGAGAACTCGGGCTTCCGGAAGGGATTGCAGCTATCACGGGTGGTCCTGCTGTCTTCACGGACTTCAGGGCCAACGGCAAGCCCTGCCACGCCCCCCGCGCTGAGGGGCCTTCCATCGCACACCCCATCCTCGCTCCCTGGCCCCTTTTCACGCAGGCGGACCCCGGCCTCCACGCTGAGCGGCACGTTGTGACCAGCTCCCTCCGCAGCATCACGGACACCCTCAGTGTCTGGAATGCGCCGGCATGTTGCAACTCCCTCCAAACACAGCACTTCCTGCCGGGGCCGCCTGCAGCACCGAAGCTGGGGGGGGGGGTCCCTCAGGATGGAGAAGGAGGTCCACAGGACACGTCCGGCCACAGCCGTGGCTTCCATGAGGTCCGTCCCTGCAGCTTCTGCCACCAGCCCACGTGCTGCCATGGGCAGGGAGCCTCGTGGGGCAGGAGTCGTCCACGCTCCTGGGCCGTTGTGCCCCTGAACCAGGCCTGACCCGGATGGGGTTACAGACGAGGGTCACGGCCATGAGCCCCCAGGCCACACGACGCTTGAAACCATCCCATCCGCCTGCAGACGTGACTCCTGCTGTGTGACAAAAGGCCCAGGGGCGATCGGCTCAGAGGAGACAGCCCCAGGCTGCCCTTAGAAAGGGGGAAACCCATGAGTTTGCCTTGGCCCTGCAATCAGAGAGGGCCATCAAGGGGACCCAGGAGCAGAGAGGTTCTTTCGTATCAAGTGGACCCCTCGCAGGACCCAAATGGCTCAAGGGAAAATACACCCGAATGTGGCTCAAAGGCCAGGAACAACCCGTGGACATCTTCCCTGCCCTGCCTCCCAAAAGTGGCTTCTAAACACAAGCCAGCGTGTGACGTTGATTGTTCCTTTATAATTGTCTAAATCAGTCCCCAAAAGGCTATTTTCACTGAATTCAGAGAGTTTTCAAATAACTGCTTAAAATTTATCATGTTGTATAAAGCCCCACATCCAGTCACATAATTCCTAGTGAAAAATAATCTAAAATTTTTACTAAACCTATAATTTAAAAACTCACAATGAACTAAACTTCCACCCAAATGCCATGTATCAAGCAACAAAAGCTTATGGAAACATCCGAATATTCATGATCCAAATATTCATGCAAGCCTCAGAATTGTTTTGACAAATTGCATACACAGTGAGAACGTTTTTGGCAATAGTGCAAATCAACCACATACATGGCTTTATGTGAGCAGACCCAATTTGCTCTGGTAACAGGCTCATATGCAGGACGTATGATTACAAACAGCAGAGACACCTGTGACCTGGTTCAAAATTTCACCTCTACCCTTTGTACCCATCATAACAATTTTGTAAAAACAGTTTGCTTTGAGAATAAAAACCCGAGTGTGTCTCAACCTCAAAAGGAAAGATTCCAAGAACAAGTCGAGATTAATTTTTTTCCCACTAAAAAGTGGGCAATTCTTAAATACTTCAAGAACTATCTAAAGATCCAGATTCTGTTTGGATTGCTCTTACAGGGGGCCAAAGTAAGCTTATATTATTTGAAAAAATGTCATGAGTTCAGTAACTGACAGAGTTTTGAGGTGTTCGTTAATGCTCCTGCCAGAGTTTACAGCTGCCGAGAACAGGCTGATGTAGCTCTAATTTCTAATTATGACTTAGCGGGAAGGGAGGAGGTTGTCAATTTTACTCGTCCCACGGTGAGAAACAAAATGATTCTACTTTCTGCTGCCAACGAAATCATCCTATTCTTCAGCGAGGCTAAGAATAATCATCTAAATAACGAAAATCAACAGGAGTGATTAACATTTTAGGAATGGTTACAGTCTTTTCTAGAAGATGCGTTCATGGAGCTGGAAGGAAGCTCTGAGGTTTTTAGAAAAATGTTCTGAACTTCTCATGGGGCAGCTCTTCCGCCTGCTCGGAACTGTGTTGGGCGCAGAGATGAAGCAGGCTACCCGATCTTGTGCGCCCTGATGCGACAGCACACACAAGCTAGGGGGCTTCTCGTCCCCTCTCCCGGCGGATGGCTGTGCAGATGGACACATCAGACCCTCACTCAGTGACCACCACGTCAGGCCATGGTGGCCGTAGTGGGGCAGAAGGGGTTTGTAAAGAAAAGCGGAACCAGGACAGGCTGCTGCTGGAGCTGGCTATGGACTCACATTTCCTTTAAAACAGAAGAGAAGGGACACCTGATGGCTCAGTCACTTAAGTGTCTGACTTGAGCCCAGGTCACGATCTCGGGGTCCTGGGATCCAGCCCCCTGCTCTGCGGGGAGCGTGCTTCTCCCTCTCCCTCTGCTCCTCCCCCTGCTCTCTCTCTCTCTCTCTCTCTCTCTCTCTCTCTCTCAAATAAATAAATAAAATCTTAAGAAATAAAATAAAGTAGGCAGGGCCTGAGCCTCTCCGCCGGCGCAGGCTCCCCTCACGCCAGCTCGCTCCCGCCGCCGTGTCTGCCACCGTCGAACAGGAGTTTGAGGAGTTGGATGCTCAGAATCGCTGGCAACAGCTGTACTTGGAAATTCGCAATGAGTCCCATGACTATCCTCATAGAGTGACCAAGTTTCCAGAAAACAGAAATCGAAACAGATACAGAGATGTAAGCCCATATGATCGCAGTCGTGCTCAGCTGCAAAATGCTGAAAATGATTATATAAATGCCAGTTTAGTTGATACAGAAGAGGCGCAGAGGAGTTACATCTTAACACAGGGCCCACTTCCTAATACAGGTTGCCATTTCTGGCTCATGGTTTGGCAGCAAAAAACCAAAGCAGTTGTCATGCTAAACCGAGTTGTGGAGAAGGAATCGGTTAAATGTGCACAGCACTGGCCAACAAAAGGTGATCGAGAGATGCTGTTTAAAGAAACAGGATTCAGGGTGACGTTCTTGTCAGCAGATGTGAAGTCATATGATACAGTACATCTACTGCAGTTAGAAAATATCACTAGTGGTGAAACCAGAACAATATCTCACTTTCATTATACTACCTGGCCAGATTTTGGAGTCCCTGAATCACCAGCTTCATTTCTCAATTTCTTATTCAAAGTGAGAGAGTCTGGTTCCTTGAATCCTGAACACGGGCCTGCAGTGATCCACCGTAGTGCAGGCATTGGGCGGTCAGGCGCCTTTTCTCTAGTAGATACCTGTCTTGTTCTGATGGAAAAAGGAGATGATATTAACATTAAACAACCGTTACTGAGTATGAGGAAATATCGAATGGGACTTATTCAGACACCAGATCAACTCAGATTTTCATATATGACTATAATAGAAGGAGGAAAATTTATAAAGGGAGATTCAAATATACAGAAACGGTGGAAAGAACTTTCTAAGGAAGACTTATGCCCTGCTTTTGATCATTCACCAACCAAAATAATGACTGAAAAATACAATGGTAATAGGACAGGCCTAGAAGAAGAAAAACTGACAGGTGACAGATATACAGGACTATGCTCTAAAATGCAGGGTACTACGGAAGAGAACAGCGAAAGTGTCTACGGAAACGAATTCGAGACGACAGAAAGGCTGACACGGCTCAGAAGGTGCAGCAGATGAAACAGAGGCTAAATGAGACTGAACGAGAAAAGAAAAGGTGGTTATACTGGCAACCTATTCTCACTAAGATGGGGTTTGTGTCACTCTTTCTGGTGGGTGCTTTTGTTGGCTGGACACTGTTGTTTCAGCAGAATGTCCTAGAAATAAACAGTTCTGCCCAGCGAGCTGCTGGTCTCGTAGCTGACAGTGTTGCGTTAGTCCCAGGCTTTGTCTGTTAGCAGATTCCTCGCACCCCAGAAACAGTGCGGTGGAATAGACACCAGCCAGAGAAGTGATATGCTCAGTCTCCAGCCCAGCATCTCAGGGCGCTGTCCCCAAACTGTAACCGGCTATCTGAAATAAAAACTTGAATGCTTGTTGAAAACTGGTACATTTTGCAACTGTATTCATACCTGTTAAGCGTACTATTTCACCTGACCAGATTGAGAAATCCTTTACCATAAGGATTGGTTTTTGGAGGCCAACTGGATTTTAACCTGCACTTGATACAAGCAATAAATATTGTGGTTTTATCTACATTATTACTGGAAAGAAAATGACCTTTAAATAATGCGTGTAATGTATAATGTACTGTTGACATGGACATCGACATTTTATATTCTTAGCCATTTCAGGGTAAATATATTTTATAAGTATCTATTTAATCTTACTTTTGTAGTTAAATGTACTTTTTAAAAACTCAATTTGAAAAATCTGTTACCATAAAAAAATAAATTGTGTGTTGATTCAATTGTACTGAATACATTTTCCTAAAGAGAAGTTTGATACGAGCAGTTAGAACTAACTCTGAATAAGCAATTTTTACTATATATTTGCATTTCTTTTATGTTTTACAGTTTTTCCAATTTTAAAAAGAAAAACAAACAAACAAAAGTTTTCCCTAAAAATATCTTTGAAGGAAAATTCTCCTTACTGGCATAGTCAGGTAACATTTGGTCAAGACTTTGTGTAAAGAAATTGGTTTCTGTAAAGCCCGTGATGAATACTGTTTAATTTTCATGAAAATTTCAATGTAATTACCCTAATTTATAATTGGGGTAAATCGTGACTTAGAAAATAAAAATAAGGAGCGTCATTTTATTATCCATGATTTCAGTTTACTAGACTGAAGTTTTGAAGTAAAATTTTTTTCAAGTTCTTTCTACTTCCATAAGTAGTATGATGATGTACAAAAAAAAAAAAAGAAAGAAAGAAAGAAAGAAAAGAAAAGAAAGTAGAAGAAAACCAGTCAGTGACTTAGAAAGGCAGCTCCCAAAGTGGACCGGGTCCACCCCGGAGCGGGCCCCTGCTGCTTCCTTCCTCATCTGTCCCGCACATGGTGCTTGACAGATGGGCTGGGTGCACGGAGCCCACCTGTGTGGCCTCCGCCTCCGACCGGCTGGGCAGTGAGCATCAGCCCCGGAGACCAGGGATCAGGTGTCAGACGGAGAGACATTCCAATAACTCAGTGTTGCTCCCTGAATGGAAAGGAATATTCACACTAGGGTGGATGAAGCAGATTAAATATTCATGCTGAGAACATGTCTGAGGGGCTCTTGGTGGTGCAAACACCGGGCTCTCGGTGAACGCGTCTTATCCTAAACCCCTAATCTCCTGGGCTCAGCAGGAAGACAGGTGTGTCTTCTCAAGAAGGATAGAGGGGAGGTGGTGCAGCCACCATGGAGGGACTTTTTCAGTGAGCCGTCTCTCAAGGGAGCAGACGGTTCTTCCAGGAATGGGTTTTGCTTGTGGGAACCTGGACCCACTGCCCCCAGACCCCTGCTCGCCAGACCCAAGACACAGACGTGCCCCAGGGAACAGTCGATGAAATTCCTGTGCTCTCATCAAACACAGAAGCCAACACACTCATTTCTCTTTAAGATGAAAAAAAAAAGATCCAACAGTTATGAACTTTCTCAAATTAGCAATTTATATAAGAAAGATCTGAAGAGAATCTATCAGAATGTCATGAGAGTCATCCAAAGATTTATGATGGTATATGGAGCCTCATTCTTGCAAGTGAAGGCAGTGTCTGCTCATCTCAATTTTGCAGCATTCCCTGACTATGAATCGCAGACTCACTGTACCTATAAGACACCTGAAATGTGCCTTATTTGCATGGTCATAAGCATTCGTGACGATCTGTGGTAAATTTGCAGTGAGACCTAAAACACAGGCTTCCTACTCATGAGTGACTCGTGTACACCCTCTTCATGCCCAACAAACCATTTGAAAATGTATTCCTTGTGTAGCTTTCAGGAATTGGTTAATTTGGGCCTTTTAACACAAGGGTATCAGGTTACACTAAAGCATAACCTTACTCCACATGAGGTATCATAAACGTCGTACAAAAGAGCTCCATTCACAAGGATGTTGGTGGGGCAGTCAATCCAGATAATCAGAGTTTACTTAAAAGTAAGTGAACACAGAATCCATTCTCTTAGCCATTTATTGTAAAATTAGAGTCTTTCGACTGCTTTATACAAGAGGCCACACAGCATGGTCAGGTAGTAAAAGTAACAACCCAACAAGAAGATAAATAAACAAAGGAAGCATTAGGGAGGAAAGATTAATAGGATAATCTAAAGTGTTATGTGGTTGGAGCACATTATGAGGAATTATTTAAGTCATAATTTCCACCTGGGCTATGTCTTGCCACAGTGAAAATTCTCCATACAGTTAAAGCACAAGGATGCAGGTCTATTTTTCTCGCTATAAGATTTACCTAGAATGCAGTAGCTTGCATTTGGGCTGGACGTCATGTGCGTGGACATCTGAAGTTAAGAAAAACATTTGTCTTTCAGGTAATCAGTGCCCAAAGTCCCAAACCATAAGAAGATTAGTAAATGAAAATGCTGATGTTTTTGTCATTTGCGATGGAAGTGATAAGTAACAGTTGCAGACGTTGATACATAATCATTCTCACCGAATCTGCTTTAGCATAAACCTGGGAGCACAGGGGGTTAGCGTGAGAAATGCACCTGCTCAGGCTGACCTTGCCGGTTTGAATCTGAGCCAGACCAGCTCCACAGGCCTGTGCGGGGGCCTGACCGTTTCTCCTCTGTGGGCTGGGTCCCAGCAAAGCAAACGGCTCAAGGAAGTAAGTCACAGACCAAGTGGCACCTGCACTCTGCCACTCACCAATGGAGAACAGGACATCCAGACGACCGAAAACCTGGGCGCAGCTGGACCCGGGCTCAGGGTCCTCAGGACGGGCTCTCTGCCGGTCTGGTTCTGGTGCTGCCGTGTCCTCTCCTCCGTGGGCCGTGCTCTTCCATTCCGGGGAGGCTCGCTATTCATCAGCACGCCAACGTAAGCAGAAAGCGTGCCTGTCCCCCCAAGGTTTTGACAAAGCCCGGGCTGGCTGGCTTGCCTGGGCCGGGCCACGTGGCCTCTGGCCCACCTCTGAACCAATCCCTCACATTCACAGCCCAGGCTGAGTCGCCGGGGTCAGCCACCCCAAAACCACATAGACCTCTGACATCAGTGAAATGGCAGCATAAGCACCTCCAAAATTTCTCTCACCCATAAAAGCAATGAGAAAACTGGCAAAAGTTGTCAGAATCAGCTCTTTGAGAACTCTGGGGATTAAGCAAAGGTTTGCAGCAACAGGAGACATTTATTCAGGGGAAACTGCTGTATCTCAGTAAGAACAGAGAGCCCGGTGGCATTTTAACTGACCCTATGCCCATCCCCCCCCTCCAGCTCTACAGCCTGCAATCACGGTGGGAAACAGCATGGGGGCGCAGCCCCCACAAAGCCTCCTCCCCAGAGAACGACTGTTGTCTGACCTGTCTGGTGGTTATCCCACGTGGGAGGCTGTCTTTACGTGACCTGACCCATCGCTTGCCCAGTGGGAACACCTTCTCCCCTGGGGGTGTCTGCGTGGCTTCTGTCTGTGGCATTTTCCCTCCTTTATCTGATTTAAAAGGTAACTGTATAAAGCAGTGACCAGAAATGTGCCGGTAGGCACACTGCGTAAAGACATATTTTGTACGAAAAAGGAAAGATGAAAGAAGGGGAAGGAATGGAGTTATCCAGGAGCAAAGTTTTTGAATACAAACTGAAACTAAATCAGTATTTTAAGGTTTTTATTTGTGTTCCTACATTCCTATTTTGCTGCCTGCTTTGGGGCCAAATATTTTCTTGTGTATCATTTTAATTTCCTTCCCTTTAAAAAAAATTTTAGTTATTTTCTTATTGGCTGCCTTAGGGATTATCGTTCACATCTTAACTGATAAAAAATCTAGTTCAAGTTAATAACCAACTTAATTTTAATCATAAATAAATTAAGTTGGTATTAACCTAAGCTAGACAAGACACATAGAAAATGAATTGTAAAATGGAATGCATAAATCCAACCTTATCAGTAACTGAATTAAATGTAAATGAATAAAGGACTCCAATTAAAAGGCAGAGACTAGCAGGAAGGACTTAAAAAAAAAAAAAAAAACCAGGACCCAGCTGCATGCTGTCTATAAGAGACACGCTTTAAATCAAAGATACAGATAAACTGAAAGTAAACAGGACAGGAAGAAAGATGTACCATGCAGATGTTAAACAAAAACAAAAGCTGGAGTAGCTCTACAAATATCAGACAAAATAGACTCCAGGATAAGTATTGTTACTAGAGACAAAGAAAGAGATCCTACAATGATAAAAATGTCAATCCATAAAGAAGACATAAAGATTGTAAACATATATGCACCTAACAATAGGACCCCAAAATGTGTGAGGCAAAGACTGACGGAATTGAAGGGAAAAATGGACAATTAAACACTAGTAGTCGGAGGTTTCAATGCCTATCCTTCAGTGGTGTGTGTAACAACCAGACAGAGACTGACGAGGAAATGGGAGAACTGAACAATACCGTGAACTGACTAGACCCCACACATGCACAGAACATACCACCCAAAAACAGCAGAATACACATCCTCCCACTTGCATTTGGAATGTCTTCCCAGACAGACCAAATGTCAGGCCATGAAACAGGTCTCACTTAATCTAAAAGTATTGAAACCATATAAAACATGTTCCCTGAGCACAATGGAATAAAATTAGAAATCAAAAACAGGAGATTTGGGAAATTTTCAATACAGGGAAGTGAAACAACACATTCCTAAATAACCAATGGATCAAAAAAGAAACCAGAATGGAAACCAGAAAACACTTCAAGATGAATGAAAATGAAAACACCACCGACAGAACTTACGGGACGCAAAAAAAGCTATGGCCAGAAATGTGCAGAAATGTGCAAATGCAACACAAAATATCTCAAAGCAATTTAGTTGTTCATGTTGAGAAACTATAAAAGAAGAATAAAGTAAACCCAAAGCAAACAGAGGGAAGGAAATAATAAAGACAAGAAAGGGAAACAAATGAAATAGAGAATAGAATAACAATAGAAAAACCAAAGCCAATTTTTAAAAAGCTAATTCTTTGAAAAGGTCAACAAAATTGACAAATCTTTAGAAAGGGGCTGAGAAAATAAAGAAGACTTAAATTGCTAAATTCGGGAATGAAAGAGGAAACGGCACTGCCTGCCTTACAGAAACACACAGGATTAAAGGAATCTTGTAAACAATTGCATGCCAAAAACTTAGATGACCCACATGAAATGGATTAATTCCTAGAGAGATACAAATGATGCCAGAAGAAGTTGAAAATCTCAACGGAGCTCTAATAAATACAGAGATTGAACTGATAACAATAATAAACTCTCTGCAGAGAAAAGCCCTGGTTCAGATGGCTTCACTGGTGGAGTTTCGTGAATGTCTACAGAATTAACACCAGTCATTTACAAACAGCACAGAAGAGGAGGTAATGCTTAACTCATTCTAGGGGACCAGCATTACCCTGGTCCCAAAACCAAAGACATCATGAGAAAGAAGACCACAGACCAATCAATATCCATTATGAATACAGACGGATCACCCAAAGAAAATTACTGCCCAACTAAATCCTGCGACGTGGAAACATTAAACCCCAAGCAGGATTTATCCCAGGAATGCAAGGTTGGTTCAACATATGAAAATCAATCAAAGTAATTCCCCATATTATAAAGGACAAAACCACATGATCATCTTAATAGATGCAGAAATAGCATTTGACAAATTCAAGACATTTTCATGATAAAAACGTGGCAAAACTAGGAATAAAAGGGATCTTCCTCAACCTGATAAAGGTCACCTATGGAAAACCCACAGCTAACATCCTAATTAATGGTAAAAAAAAAAAAAAAAACTGAAGCTTTCCACCTAAGATCAGGAACAAGGCAAGGACATGCACCCACATCACTTGTGTTGTATGCTGTTCTGGGGGTTCTAAGCAGAGAAATGAGGCAGGAGAAAGAAATAAAAGGCATTCAGATTGGAAAGGAAGGAGTAAAACAATCTCTATTTGCAGATGATCTGATCTTGTGTATTAAGAACCCTAGGGAGTGCCCCCAACCAACACACACACACATACTCTTAGAGCTAAGGAACAGCTTTAGCAAGGTTTCAGGAAGCGGATGGGGGAACCAGAGGTGGTTCAGCATAAATAAACAAACTTTCACGGAGGACCAGATGCAAAAGGCAGAGAACTAAAGGGGAGAGGTGAGCCCCACCCGGGCGTGCAGGGCCCCTAGATCATGCTGGGATGGTTCATCATCTTCTTACCCACAGAGGAGAACTCTGACTACGTGGCGTGACCCTCCTGTTAAATCCAACAACACAAGGCACGCACATGGCATCAGGCATCTGCTAAATTCTCATTCAATGTTAGTTCTGCCACAACTTCTGAAATATAATGAAAAGATTCTCAATCATGAAGTTCTACTAAATGGCAGATGTGTCTGCTCCTGGGGTGGCCCTTCTGGAATACCATACTCCGCATTCTGGCATCAGATGGAAGTGTGGATGTGGAGGCATGGGAGATCATTGCTGAAAAACCTTGCAAACACCCATTGCATGACTGGCGTGGACAACCCTGTATGGGCTCTGTATCCTGATCTTTTTTGTTCCATAACAACCCTGGAGGGTAGATTCTATTAATATGTTCAATCTGCCCATGATGAAAGGAATGCTCAAAGAGCAAGCTCCATTCCTTAGGTGAGAACAAAGTCTTTGTATCAGGAACTGTCCACCCATATGATAACTGGCTCCCACTGGTCCCAGAGCAAGGTGCCTTGCTCAGGCTCTGTCAGCCCTTTGTGGGGCTGTCTGAACACCGTGTAGACATACTGCGTCCTTGAGAATCTGGCAGGACATCAACTGAGGTTCCTGCTCTCAATCTGGAAGGGCTTTAGAAAACATCTGCTGAGCCCTGCTCTCTAATAAACACTCACTTGTAAACTGTTGTCTGTGCCAAGGCACGATTGCAAGGTATGATTTTCTTCTATTAATCTACACCTCATGGGCTTACTTTTCTAGTTGACTTCTAAGTGTGACTACACAGGACCCTTCAGATACCTGGGAGCTTCGCCACCACCCATGGGGCATGAGAGTTTAAGGCATTACCTCTGTTGGAATCCCCACAATGGTTTTCAGTGTCCTTGCTGGCCAACGGTGGAACCTAGCACAGTATGGGTGTCCAGCACTCACCACCATGGCCGCAGCCTACAGGGGTCCTACAGATCACCTCCATCTGAAACACTCTGCTACACAACTCCAGAAACACCATATTGTGACAAAGCTGCAGAACTGAGCTATAGATGTGCCGTTGCTACGCACCAGTGATATTACCATGGGTCTTCCGAGATCTCTGACCAGAGATGGTTACGTCTGATTTGTCACACAGCAGGCGGTTCCCTTCAGAGCTGACGATTAGAAGAAGAAAAGAATGGCGGTGCAGGATACCACTGCAGGCGTTCCCTACCACTCTTTCTTTAGACAAAGACAGAGGTCTTTGCATCCTTTCTAGTGCAAGCAACATCCTCTCTCATGAAGCAGTCTGAAGTCAGAGCAGTAAGGGGGACAAGCACCAGCTTCTGATTCAACAAACCTGGACTCACATCCCTAATGC